CTTTTTCTACTTTTCTTACTTTATTTACTTCTAATCCTACAGTGTCTATTGAATCAAAAGTGACTGTTAAAAAATCTGAGTCAAAGCCCTTCAGTACTGTATTTACTGTTGAGCCTCTACAAAATCCTAGAGTATATAGTCAGAGTCTAGGAGTTCTAAGGTGACTTCTAGATTTGTAGAAAATGCTTCTTACTACAAATCCTGCTTGTTACTCATTATCACTCTAATGACCTGACAGATATACTGTTACTTCTGTAGGCAGTCCCTAATTTGGTGCCCTGACTTTCTGTAAGCAAAGTATACTTCTCACTTTTAGGCTTCTCTAATGTCTATTAGAACAGATTGATTACAAATTACAGATAGATCAATCTGAGGGCTCAGAACTGTTAGAGCTAGATACATGTATAAGTATTCTGTACAGACTTAATGTATCTAAACTGTAGCTTAGTCAAAGGAAATGGTACACATCTTCTACTTAGTATAAGTAATCAGTTCTAACATTATTCTAAGAATCTTATTAACCAGTTCTAGATAAAGAGCTTTTTCAAGTATTCTAATAAGGACATTATTAAACCTGAGTACAAATCCTGCCTTCTAGGCTAGGATATTAAACTTCTGAAAGAAAGTATTGGCAGAATGTTTGCCCTGTCATAGAGACACAAGCTTGTTCTGTGTATTGTACTTCTTATTTAGATTAATAAAGAAAGTACAGAGCTGCCTTATGAATTCCAAATATGACTTGTTGTTCTGAAGTTAGATCAGGCTTCTGATCTGATAGCCTTCAATCCAGTTCTAGGCCCAGGTGGCTGTGTTGCCTTCCTTTATGAAGGAGAGGACAAATAGGATGTGATTAAGATCTAAGGATAGATTAGTTAAAGTAGTAGCTACATATAGTTTGACTTAGTACTAGAAGTCCTTAAAGTACTACCTATTAAAGTCTGAAGGGTAGGCTATATACACTTTCTTTCCAAAACAGGTTGTAACTTCCAGAACAATCAGAACAGGTTCTGAAGGGGCTGAGAGCATGTAGTTAGTAAAGACCTTTTAAATAAAGGTCTACATATATTAAGCTAGGTCTACTTGTAACTACTAATCTAGTAGGACAGTAAGGGTGACAGTTAGTGTAGGAGGGTCTATGTTTACACTACAAAGGAATCAGTACTAAACTAAAAGGGGTAATGAATAGAAGAAGGGTGGTAAAAGTTTAAAAGGGTTTAGAAAGTTTAAAATTTAAAAATATAAAAGGGTTAGAACAAAGAAAAGAGATTAATGTAATAGTAAGTACTAATGCCTAAAATGTAGGAGAGTCATAGAGTAGTAATAGGTAGTCTTGATCTGATGTCAGTAACAGTGTAGAGGGGACCTGAAGGCTCAGTAAGGGGACCCAGACTACAACTATTCTACACAACAGAAATACAGAACACAAGTACTAGAACATAGTCAGAACTTGCAGAACAGGCAGAGAGAGAGAGTGAGACAAGAGTAGAGTATATAGAGTGAGCCTAAGAGTACAGGACTACCTAGAGTAGACAAGATCAAGACTATAGTACTAGTCTGATCTTGTATACTTATATATACTAAACTATACAAGAGTACTCAGAGAGTATAAGCTACTAAGAATGATAAGCTACAAAGAATGAAAGAAAGGAAGGTTAAAGATAAAGGAACAAAGAATGAAGGGATAGACAAAGGGTAAGAGACTATAGAATGAACAAAGAATGAAGGGGTAGTCAAAGGAATAGAATAATAAAGTAAGGAAGGGTAGTAGTAAGAGTTAGTACACATATAGTTTATAGACAGTACCCCTAAGGGACAGAAGTCCTGAGTTCTAGTATAGAAGGGTGTAGAACCCTTAGAACTGAAAGTACAAGAGTGGAGAACCATAACAGAAGGGAGACAAAAAAGTTGGGGAGAGAGATGAGTATCTATTATAGTACTTATTATGAAATAGACTAGCTACTTACACTTTATGTTGAAGGCAGAAGAGGATGCTAAAGTCAGCTGTATAGTATAGTATATTACTAGTATAGGTCCCTAAAAAGAAATACTAAGGCTAGGTTGTGTTGTTACAGGATCTGAGCTTAACACAGGCATTATAACAACTAATTAGAGAGACAAGTACAGTAATGTTTATTGTCTACATAGTTGTAGACAGTGTGCCTGCTAGCAAGTAGAGGACTGGACTGGAGGGAACAAAAGTGATGAGTGTCACTATTTACAGGGTAGAGGGTTAAGGGTAGGCAGAGGTTAAAGACAAGTAACAAGGGTGAGTGTAGTACTCAAGATTTAAGTAAAGTCCTATGTAATATTCAACCATTATATAAGCT